AACTATAAAGTATAAACTCTAGCTGTTAATTTCTTTTTAAGAAAATTTACATTAATGTTAACACGTAGGTTCGCAACAAGGTTTAACTATTTTTTTCTTTCCGTCCCAAATATTTATAATACATATAACAGTGACAATCAAATAAACAAACAATTAATCAGAATGAAGATAAAATAGAATGGGTTGAGAATTCGCAGGATAATCAATCCTTGGCTTTTACGTTTAAAAATTGTAATACGGATGTAACTATTGTATATGTAGTTACGGTAATATATTACTTAGTTACGGTCTTGTATAGTATATATAGGTGTGTGTACTAAATCCTAATATACAAAATAACAATTTTACGGCTGAAGTTTATGCTGGCCGCCTCACTTTCTCGTTTTTAACATAGTACAGAGCTGGGCGATTTTTTTTTCTTTAAACCTTGCTTCCCTTACGTGTGATAGCTACGTCCGAACACGGTGATACGTCTTCTAGTTCCGACGATTATATTGCCGAGCATAAAACTATTTCTCCGTATGATTTGACATCCAACGATCTCCCTGACCATATTCTCACTCACGTTCACTTAAAGGGTGAATCGAATTATGATGAATGGTCCAAGGCCGTTTGGATGGCTCTCCGGACTAGGAAGAAGTTTGGTTTTGTCGATCGTTCTCTTCTGAAACCAAAGAAAGCCGCAATTTGGAGGATTGGTGGACAATTCAATCGTTAATCATGTCGTGGATAATAAACGTGATCGACTCGTCCATCCGGTCGTCAATTCCGCAGAAGGAAGTTTCTGCCGATTTGTGGGATCATCTTAAGCAACGCTTCTCCGTTGTCACTGTGTCACGGGCTTACTTTTTCAAAGTAACGGCAGAAAAACAGTCCGTGACAACTGGCTCAAGAATTCGGCAATTGAAGACTGACTTGGCCGAGTGTAGGCAGCATTCCTCTTCTGTCAAACAATATTACGGCCAACTGCAAAAAAATTTGGGATGATATTGGTGATTCAGATTGCGCGTCCATTGCTGATCTCTGTGCTCCATGCCAAGTCAAGATGGCGGCGGTCCTGGAGCTCCATCATGAAAACGAGTGCCTTCACCAATTTTTTCTCGGTTTGAACGTTAAATTGTATGGTTCCATCCGCTCCAATACTCTGTCCAAGGAGCCTCTACCAACAATCGCCCGTCTTTATTCACTCGTCGTTCAGGAGGAGGAGCTCCGTTCCTCACAGCCGAAGGAGCTTCCAGCCGAGATGAGCTTTGCGGTCACCTCCAACAGCTGCACCGGGGGCGTCAGTTATTCTGCAACTTCCGCGGTGATTTGGCCCTTCTTGCTACGGTTGTTACTTCAAAATCCAGGCTCGTGGATCTCTTTCGGTGTGTTCTTACTATCATAAACCCAATCACGACATACGGAGTGCTTTCAGCTTCATGAGTATCCGACAAATCGCCCAGGTAGACGTGGCCGGGGAAGAGGTTCCGGTGGCATGAATCAGTTTGGCGTTCCTCCCGGTTCTACTTCACTTCCACACGAAGCGCAGCGTCCCAGTGAGCCTGCATAGGCTTCTGCTTAAACTGAGATAAGATATGAACAGAATAAGATAACTCGGGACGAGTGACAGCCAGATAGATCAGCCGTCCCACCAAACGGTGATACTGTAAAGGATCTGAGAAAGGAGCATCATCGGACAAAGATACGTGATGATTCTGCTCAAGAGAAAAATCAGCAGGTTTAGCACCTAACAAACCCACTTCAGAGATGATATCCAAAGTGTACTTGTGCTGAGAAAGAAAAATGCCGGTAGAATTTTGAGCTACCTCAATGCCAAAAAAATACTTGAGAACCCCAAGATCTTTCATATGAAAACACCGATGTAAGTAATCTTTAAAAGACTAGAGAGCAGCGGAATCTTTCCCAGAAAGAATAAGATCATCAACATAGACTACAACGTTGATTAGGCAGCACGTGTCAAAGTAAACAAGGAGTAATCAGACATAGATTGTTGAAAACCATACCGACAAAGTGCACCAGCCAACTTGGCAAACCAACAGCGAGGAGCCTGGCGTAAGCCATAGAGAAAACACCGAAGGCGACACACAATACCGGGTTGAGGAGAAGTAAAACCAGGTGGTAGCTTCATATAGACTTCTTCAGAAAGATCACCATGAAGAAAGGCACTAAGAACATCCATCTGGTGAAACTCTCAACCTTTAGCAGCAACAACAGCCAGAAAGGTACGGACAATCACCATTTTCCTAACAGGAGCAAAAGTCTCATCATAGTCAAGGCTTTCGATCTGATTATTGCCCAAAATCACAAAGCGAGCCTTATAACGCTCGGCCGAACCATCAGAATGGTATTTAATTTTGAAGACCCATTTGCAGCCGATTGCACGTTTCTCAGGAGGAAGTGACGCCAAAGTCCAGTACCATTCTCCTCAAGAGCCCAAATCTCCTATTGCATCGCAGTGCGCCAGCGAACATCATACATAGCCTCCGCAAAGCTACGAGGCTCCACACCTGCAGTGACACTAGCCAAAAAATCACGATGCGAAGGAGAAAAGGAAGCAACTCACATATTTGTGTAAAGAATAGGTTGTACCCGAGGAAATTGAGGAAGCAGCTGAGGTGAGAGAGGGGCTTTTGGGAGCTATAGTGTGGGACACAAAATCTATAAGACGAGTAGAGCAAAATTTGATGTGGTTCCCGCGACCCAACAATTCCTCTGGTGGTCCAGTCGACCCAACAAATCCGAAACCAAAATATCCTCAGGTGGAGGCACATTAATAGGAGAGCCAGAAGAAGCAACCATATCATCATCACAATCAAGAACAGGAGGAAGGGAGAACAAGGGAAGGAAACTGAAAAGAAAATTTAACCTCAGAGAAAACAACATCCCGCGAAACAAAATACTCCTTAGAGTCCAAATCATAAACACGCCAACCTTTCTTACTAAAGGGATATCCAACAAAGAGACAGCGGCGACTTTGAATAGCAAATTTGTCTCCTTTTTGATTTTGGTTATGCACATAACACAAGCAACCGAAAACATGTAAGTGAGATAGGAAAGCTGGAGTGCCATACAACAGTTCGCAAGGGGTTTTACCATGCAAAACACTTGAAGGAATTCGATTAATAAGATAACCGGCAGCTAAAATGCATTCATCCCAAAACTCAATAGGCAAGTGGGCTTGAAAACGTAAAACACAAGCAACATTAAGAATATGCTGATGCTTACGTTCAACACGCCAATTCTGCTGAGGAGTACCAACACAAGAGGTTTCATGCAAAATTCCATGTTGACGAAAATAAGCATCCAAACAAGTAAAGTTTGTCCCATTACCACTACGAACGGTTTTGACAGATGTACCATACCAGCGCTCAACCAGAGTGAAAAAATTACACAAAGTCAGAGAAACCTTGGTCTTATCAACTAAAAAATAGATCCAAGTAGCACGAGAATAGTCATCAACAATGGTCAAAAAATATCTAGCACCAAAAAAAGAAGGAGTCTGGTATGACCCTCAAAGATCACAATGAATTAATTGAAAAACAACATGAGTCTGAGTAATACTGAGAGGAAAAGCATCTCTGGATTGCTTGGCCCTAAAACAAGCATCACAGGTCTTATTAAAATGAATACTATCTTTTCTAGAACTAACAAAAGAAAGCGATTCTAAAACCTTCGAAGATGGATGACCCAGACACAAATGCCATAAATCAAAAGTAGACAATCCAGTAGCAACCGCCGCAATAGTCTCAATCTCCTAAAAGAAGTAAAGCCCCTCACTTTGCTCACCTGTTCCAATCAGAGCCCTAAAATTTAGGTCCTGTATAAGACACAAATTATGAGTAAAGTGAGCAACATATGAGAAATCTCGCAACAGTTGAGAGACAGAAATGAAATGACACTGTAATTGGGGAACAAAGACAACATCCTGCAACACCATTCAGTACTACTGAGAACAACAGAACCGGCCTTAGTAGCACAAGTACTTTGGCCATTGGGCAAAAGAACCAGAACCGGAGCAATAGCGCGAACAACGCAAAAATAAGCAAGTGAACCCGTCATATGACGTTTCATGAGCGCACGAAATATATTGAGGTTGATTGTCACTTAATTCGCAATGAAGTTCTTGTTGGGACTATCCTTCCTAGTTACGTGTCGACTCATGTACAACTTGCGGATATTTTCACCAAGGCTTTGGGAAAGCAATCGTTTGAATTTTTTCTACGCAAGTTGGGCATTATGTTAATTCTCATGCTCCTAACTATTGTATATGTATTTATGGTAGTATATTACTTAGTTACGGTCTTGTATAGTATATATATGTGTGTACTAAACTCTAATATACAAAATAACAATTTTACGGCTGAAGTTTATGCCGGCTGCCTCACTTTCTCGTTCTTAACAAATTGATTTACTAGTTACTCCAAATTCAGAGGTTTAAAGAACATGCAATCTAATAAGAATACATCTCACACTACTTGGAGATTCTTCATAAGTTATTCACTTCTTGGTAGAAGAAGTCGAAAAAAAAAACTATCGGACTGCGAATGTATACTATGATTGATATTAAAACTCGTTTAATTTGAAAAATTAGTTAACTTAATATATGTTGGATTAATCACCATTCTAATTTTTTTTTTCTTTTTTATTCTTCACATGGTTTAGCTCCTCATGCGAATTGTATACTATCATTTGAGAAACTTTGAGATACGATTTCAATCTTCATTTTCCTTGTGTATTAGGCATTTGGAATCTGAGGCTCGACTTGTATGTTGCACTCCGTATTTTAAATTTATAATGCAACATATTTTTTGGGACGGAGGAAATAATTTATAAAAATAAAAGAATATCATATTATGAATTTTTTTTTTTAAAAAAAAGCCTTTGCTTAAAGGCGGTGCAAGTTTAACGTTTTATCTTTAAAGGCGCCGACGTTTTTCCCTCTCTCCAGTAATCATATCCGGACTTGTGGGGTAATATCTTGTACGGTTATACCGTTAAAAATTGGCGCGCTCGTATTGGTAAAATCCTCCCGGCAAACAAAACCAGCCGCCCATTCCACCAGGTTGACCGACACCTCAAAACCACCGGCGGAAAATTTTAAAATCAATAAAATTAAATCCAGAAGTTCGCATAGAGGAGATCTCTACTCCACACAGTCTTATAAATTCTCAATTCAATCTGATCCAATCCAATTAGAATTTTCCAATTCAAACAACACAAAAATCCTGGTTCCGATTCCATAGATCAATCATATAAGATGAGCGGGAATCTGAGTTGCGTAATCGTGGCAGTTGATGGGAGCGAAGAAAGCATGGTGGGTTTGAAGTGGGCTCTTGATAATATCAGGTTGAAACCCGATGGGTCTTTGATCGTCCTCCATGTCCAATCGCCGCCGTCCATTGCCGCCGGCCTTAATCCCGGCGCCATCCCCTTTGGTGGTCCCAGTTAAGAAAAAGTCAAAACCCACTATTCTTTTTCGCTGTTATCAATTTTTTATCAACTGGGTTCGTTTAATTTGATCGAAAGGGTCAGTGGTTTTTGATACGGGTTTCTCGGTTTTGGTGATTTGGTAGGTGAATTTGAAGTGCCGGCATTTACAGCTGCGATTGAAGCCCATCAGAAACGGATTACCCAGGCTATCTTCCAGCATTCTCTGGAGATTTGCGCCGAAAAAAATGTTAGCTTTCTCCATTCATTTCTATTTCTATCTCTTACCAGCCTTCTTGAGGGAATTAATTGGGCAGAACAATCTAATTCATACATTTGTTGCTGTGGTTTTTTAATCTGCGAGCAGTTGTCGTCATCTAGCAAGTGTTCATTTACTGAGAAAGTTCCTCTTTCTTTGAAGATGTTATATATCCGACTTGAAACTCTGTAGGTCTACATGATGGAATTAATTTTGTGATTTGACTTCATGTTGTGTTTTTATGTCTCATTTGATGTGTTTGGAGAGTAGTTATTATGGAAACTAATGACTTATATAGAGAATGTGTTTTCTCTACTGATTTTTTTATTTGGTTTTCAGTAAATGTTGATTTTATCCGTGGTTTAAAATGAAACAGGTGAAGGTTGAAACCAAGGTAGTTATTGGGGACCCAAAAGAGAAAATTTGTGAGGTTGTTGAGGAGCTGCATGCTGATCTGCTCGTTATGGGATCACGCGCATTTGGTCCTATTAAGAGGTAATTTGTTCTGGTTGCTGGAAAATGGATTCTGTTAGTTATGTTAAACAATCAATTTACCAGTTATGGGATGGCTGAGATAGGTAACTTAATAATGAAACTCACTTCCTTCATTACTGTAGATGTGTAGTTTGGTGAAACTTATTGCCTCTAAATTTTCTCATAACTCTACTTGTGATGAGTCTTAACCGGAATCACATGCCTTGTGAACTTAGCACTCCCCTCAGCCGAAACGATCCAAGAAAGGTTGAGATGACTGATACTGTTTTCTCAATCTGAATGAAAAATAACATTAAGATAATCGAATGTTTCATTGCAGAGATAACTGGCAGCAAAAGTTTCATTTGTGCTTCCAAGAGAATGATCAATGTAGTTTCCTCATATGCACTCATCTTTATGTGTAGTCGAATATGTAATCAGATTCTGACGCACATTATTCTTTATAGTTTTTCTTCTCATCCTACACCTTTCTCAATTGCCACTTATCTAATGTCCTAGATGCATTAATGCTTGGAAAAGATAAGTCACAAGTGTCACTGGGAGTATCAATATCTTTCTCCTCATATAGTTAATAACAGTTAACTGATTGGTGATAATTCCTGATCGTGACTGTTTCTTATAGCTGTTAACTGAGGTTGAAAAATGGCATGGCCTTGATTCTTTAGCGAGCCAAAAAACAATAGTCATCTTTAGGCCTTCATTCCTGCTCCTTGTTGCATTATCAATTGTCTCTTTGTAGACTTCTCTTTCTATAATGGCATATTGATGCCAATAGAAGGTCCCTTATCTTACTGAAATGAGTCTTCAGCATTGCCGATCGATCTCTCATGTTTTTCCTTTTGAAGTTTTTGTGCCTTTTTTGTAGCATGCCTAATTATGAAGTTATTGGATTGTATTTGGAACAATTTATATAGCAACCTGGGTGATCTGAGAAGAACAAGGAGAACGCAAAGTTAAATCCTTTAAAGTTTTTCAGCCTACTTAGGAATGTAGTTGATGAAACAGCAGGAGTTAAAGAATTTAGAACTTTATCTATCTTTTTGTTTGTGGAATTTTGGACTATAATATAGATTTGACCACTTTTTAGTCCTTTCCATTTGACATTTCTTTAACATTTCTCTTGAAACAGGATGTTTTTGGGAAGTGTGAGCAACTACTGCAGTAACCGGGCGCAATGCCCAGTGATGATTGTGAAGGGCTCTTCTTGAGGTTCTTTGTGAATTATTTTTGTTGTAAAGTTACAGAGCATGTGCATATCGGTATATTGGTGTGGAAGTTAGTTTTCTTCCTGGCATTTCTGCTCCTTTTGTCGAGCGTAGCGTTGAAAGCAGGTTTCTCACAAATTGTAAGTCTATCATTGTTCTCATATGCATGGCAAGAATAGTGGAGATAGCTCTTCGATGTGGATAGGTTTGTTGAACTAGTGGATTTGGGAAAGATTAAGTCAGTCTGCTAAGGCCGAATTCTGCAGATGTACTGACTTTTTTTGTTCGTCTGTCTGTCCTTATTCTTTGATCGATCATAGTGTGGTTGGGTTTGTCATTTTGGGTGTAATCAATTACAGATATATTTATGGACACACCTTGTAATTCTTTTCTGTTTGAATATTTGTTTTATCATGGGAAACATGACTTTCAAACTTATGTAGCCACATTTTTATTTACATGATGCTGTATATATACCAATTATAAGTACAATTATAAGTAAGTGAAGTAACAACCATGCCCTAACATACTTTAGAAGGGCATTCATACTGTATGATATACTCCCCCCGTCTCATAATTATTGTCCACTTTTACTAAAATGAAAGATTTTATTTTTGGTCAAACTTAACTATATTTTACCTTAAACAACCGGATATACCCTAATATAAGTAATTGTGTAACCACTAAGATTTTATGGATAATGTTTTACTAAGGACAAATGTGTAACTTGATCCATAAAATGTCAAATTGGACAATAATTTTGGGACAAAATTTTTTTGCCAAAGTGAACAATAATTATGGGACGGAGGGAGTAATAGGTAGGTGTTAAGGACTCCACGAAGGTATATGATCCATATATGTAGTTAGTCTCATACGATGAAATATAGACAGAAAATGATCCATAACATTGAATTCACTAATGAGATAAAAGGCTTTCTAGTTGCATTAAGGGCAGCCATATATGATCAATGATTGAGGTACAACTTGCCTTATACTAACTAGTCTTGGAAGGAATGGGCAAATTTCAATCAGAATCAAAACAAACTCACTTCTGTTTTCTTTTTTTTTTTTTTTTTTTTTTGATTTCAAAAGGCAGCTTAACAGCAAAATTACATCACTTCTGTTTTCTCAAATTTCTATGCCTCATAATTTTTTAACCCTCCCTTTCAAATTTTTTTTTTTAACCTTTCTTTTTTTTGGGGCCCTACCAATATCGATACATTGCTAGTAATTCAGATTTTCGAACTCGTAGCTTCTCTCAGGGTGAAGCGCATGTTTATCATCGAACCTTTTGTGCAAATTCTTTAAGGGTAATAATTGACGCAGGAAAAATTTTATAAAAAATATAAAGGGATTGAATGATACTGTTATAGTTCAGACCTTTACAAGTTTATGAGGGTACAGATAGTTAAGATTAAGTCACATTATTTTCTTGTAAATTTTTCGAATAAATTTTCCGTTCATGTATCATTACTCATTCTTCATGCAGAGTATGTATATCCATTCCATCTGAACAATTTCTTTTACCCCTTATTCGTTGGTCCTTATTCTAAAATTACATTTTCATACTTTTAAAACACATTTCGACCGTCTTAATTAATATAACATTTATGATAAATCATCTCAAAGTATTTTACAACTGAAATAAACCCAAAAAAAAAAAAAAAAACCTACACTTTAACCCTAAATCTCTCTCCCTAAAAAAAGGGTCATATTTGTTGTACGGCTACAATACAAGATCGCGGTGGCCATTGTGAACCTTTAATAATATAAGCACAAGTGAGCAGGCTCCTAATAATTTGTTGTATGCTAAGTGAACTGGCCACAATACAAGACGAGTTTCACTATCTAAAGCAGAGATTTTTTTAATCTATACAAGTTCTTTTGTCCATCGTCACGAGCTACGGTCGGTCACGGGCATTCATGCAAAACCCTCCAAAAAAACACAAAAAAGTTCGAAGATATTCACTCAAAAGAGTTTTAGTCTGAGAGGAAGAAACCAATTATATATATATCCCCAATCAAATTCACCCTAGCTAGGGTCCCCGGGTTCACGTACTAAGTTATGACACCCATAATTTCACCTCTCACTAATAATTTCTTGTGCCCTTTTCTGACCTTTTTGTCACCTTTTTATTTTTTTTTGGCCACAACTCCTTTGAGAACAAGGATATCTTGCTTGTATACACATTTTAGACTAACGGGCATCCGATGCCCTAATGGATTTATGGCCGGACATGAGTTCCGATCCGTTATCTATTCCGATCCATTACATACATTTTTAAACTGGAGCATTATTATGAGACAGGAAATTTATAGATAATTGATGTGGACGTATAAATACGTTGATTGTCTTTCGAGTTTCTTTACAATTTCGCATGCTTTGATAATTTTTATCCCCACATGCAAGTGTATAGATAGATCGATGCTCAACAAAAAAACAAAAACAGATGAGGCCATCTAGCGGACTAGAACCAAAATCATATAAGAACATATGGAGCTCTCAAGTCAACATGTCCATACCTTTCTTGGATGCTTTTGCCACTCCACTGGAAACCAAAACCCAAAAAAAAAAAAAAAAGAACGTCCCGTGACCTTCAATCGATCATTATTATTTGAACATGCTTTACAAGTTAATCGCTTCCTTCGAAAATGATTGTCCTGTTTATTGTGATAATAGTATCATAATCATTTTGAAATGGAAGGATTATAGTAATTCCATATTTGGAATTGATTAGCAAACGCAATGAATCATATGCTCGAGTTTCCCTTATAAAATCCCTCTGCCATTTCATTCTTCTTGCATGCGCCTAATATTCAAAATGGGCTCAAATACACTGACATTAATAATCTTCACCTCTCTTCTCATCTCATCAACCACCACCACCACTGCCACCGCGACAACCAAGACGGCGGCGGCAGCCGGTTACGACCCATGTGAATCATCCTCAAGCAGTACTGATTCAGACCTCTCCATTATTCACATTTACGGCAAATGCTCACCATTTGCACCTCACCAAACGCCATGGCTCAATACAGTCATCAACATGGCTTCCAAACTCGACCCTCAAAGATTTGCTTACTTATCAAGCCTAGTAGCTTCCCCAAAGCCCACCAAAGTCCCCATTGCTTCCGGCCAGAACGTCCTGAACGTCGGAAATTACATCGTCCGGGCAAAAATCGGGACGCCGGCGCAGCTAATGTTCATGGTTTTGGACACCAGCAACGACGTTGCATGGGTCCCATGCACCGGCTGCTCCGGCTGTTCTTCCCGCCTCTTTTCTCCCAATACTTCCACCAGTTACTTGGCCTCCGACTGCTCTTTGCCGGAATGCACCCAAGTCCGGGGACTTTCTTGCCCCACCACCGGCAACGGCGCCTGTTTTTTCAACCAATCTTACGGCGGAGATTCATCCCTTTTCGCTACATTGTCACACGATTCCCTTACCTTAGGGAACGATGTGATTCCGAATTATGCGTTTGGATGCATTAATGCCGTCTCCGGCGGGTCAATTCCGCCACAGGGGTTATTGGGTTTGGGTCGGGGCTCCATGTCCCTGCTCTCACAATCCGGGTCGCTGTACTCCGGTGTCTTCTCCTACTGTTTACCAAGCTTCCGATCATACTACTTTTCCGGGTCACTCAAACTCGGCTCGGTGGGTCAACCCAAGAATATCCGGACCACCCCGTTACTCAAAAACCCGCACCGTCCTTCCTTGTATTACGTGAACCTCACCGGAATCAGCGTCGGAAAAGTTAAGGTCCCCGTTGCTCCGGAGCTCCTATCTTTCGACCCCAATACCGGTTCCGGCACCATCATTGACTCCGGGACGGTGATAACCCGATTCGTCCAACCGGTTTACAATGCATTGAGAGATGAATTCAGAAAACAAGTGACCGGACCGTTCAGCTCTCTGGGTGCATTTGATACTTGTTTTACGGCTTCCAATGAGGATTTAGCTCCTCCAATAACGTTGCATTTTGAAGGGATGGATTTGGTTTTGCCAATGGAGAACAGTTTGATTCACAGCAGTGCCGGTTCTTTGGCTTGTTTGTCGATGGCGGCTGCTCCGGGGAATGTGAATTCCGGGTTGAATGTGATAGCCAATTTGCAGCAACAGAATCTCAGGATTTTGTTTGACACTGCAAATTCTCGCGTGGGAATTGCTCGGGAACTTTGTAATTAGATTCGTTTGGTGTCCAAATTCTTGTTAGTCTGTCTTAATATTTGCCGATTGCCGCGAGATTGTCTGTAGCTTTGGTACTGTTTGTTTGATCAATTTTTCAACCCTTTGTGATTATCTCATCTTTGTACTGTGGTTATGGTTGGAGTTAGACCGATGCAATCTGTTTGCATTTTATCTCAAGAAATCATATCGCATGTCGCCGGATCTTTCTAGTCCCTAAAATATTTTCCAATTCAATTTTAGTCCTCAATATTTTTCACGTGATAAAATTAGTTCTGTTAGTATTTTTTTGGTTCAAAATTGGTCTTGTTTGCCGGATCCGGCTACTATTCCGAGGAAGTATGATTTTTAAATTATAAATATTTCCCAAAATTTTGTAATTTTATCCCAATTTTTTTTTAAAAAAATTCAGTTGAACCCAATTTTAACTTTAGTACATCAATTTTTCAATTTTACTCAATTTACTTTTATATTTCCCAATAAAATCTTACTATATCAAAATGTAAAATTTACTACATTGTTTACCGTATTCTCTATCATATTTACTATGAAAAAACTAAATATATTCTAATATATTTATTTATTTTACCCCCATTATTTTTTTTCTTTGCCTGGCCTATTACTAAATCAACTATCAATTTTCACTATTTTATCTCCAAAAATTCTAAAATTAATGAAATAATAATATAAAAAATTAAATATGTATAAATAATAAAATAATTCTAATAAATAATATTCAATTAATAATTTTTTTTGAGATAAATTATTGTAAAAATTCAAAAAAAAATGCAAAATCAGAGTTTTTTTCCCCTTTCCTGTCCGATTATTTCTTCGCGATAAATCATTGTCATCTTTTTTTACTCTTTATCTTATATTTTCACCAAATAAAAATTAGAACCCTATTTGATTTACCTTATGTGTTTTTCTTACGTCAATAAAAAAATCAAAGCAGCAAAAATAATTTTGTTTGTCAAATATCCTCACTGTTTTAATTTTTTTGACATAATAAATATAGGTAAGGTAAACTATAATAAGGTTTGGAAAACCTTTGTCTGGTAAAAAGGTCAAGTAAAAGATTAAAAAGATGAATATTTGGAAATACAAACTTTCTCAATATGAAAAGGTGGTTAGTCGAGTACAAATAAAGCGTAGAATGAAAAACATAAAAGAAATTTCAAAAAATTTATTATTTAAAATTTATTTAATATAATAATATTTATTAAAAATTTATTTTAATATTCTAGACTTTTTTTTAAGTTACATTATTATTTTATTATTATTATTTTTATTTTATGAGTAAAATGAAAAAAGATATTATATTGGTTTTTAACTAGGCTAGAGGGGAAAAAACACATCCTATAAAAATATGACATATAAAATATAGTATCCATTCCTATCTTACTTCTAAAAATATAAAATTATGTACATTATTTATCCTATTATCCCTCATTTTTATCACAAACAAAAAAATGAGAGAAAATAAAGTAAACAATGTAGGACATTTTACATTTTTGGATAGAAAGATTTGATTTGGATAGATAAAAGCAAATAGATTAAAACTAAAAAAGTGATGTGCTAAAGTTAAAATTGGTTAAATTGAATTTTTTTTTAAAAAAGGGGTAAAATTGATAAAATTACAAAATTTTGGAGAAAATTTGTGATTAAAAAATTATATTTCGCCGGAATAGTAGCCGGATCGGGCCAATAGGACCAATTTTGAACAAACAAAAAAAAAAAAACTACTAGGACTAATTTTATCACGTGAAAAACATTAGGGACGAAAATTGAACTGGAAAACATATTAGGGACTAAAAAGATCGAGCGCCCCATATTTATTGGTCGAGTATCGTTAACGTACTACTAAAGTACAAACATATTTTCGCCCATGGAACAACATCGTTTATTTATTGGTCAAGTATCGTTAACATACTACTAAAGTTCAAACATATTTTTGCCCATGGAATAACATCGTTTTAATTATAATATAATACTCGTAACACGGAAGTTTAACATATTACTTATTATACTACCATTTTGAATGTGACACGACTAAATTGAAAGGTTCCATTAAGTGTTAGAAGAATCAGTCCTCTACCCATTTGTGCCAATTCCAAACTGTATCTGATTTAATTCGTTCTTTAGTTAGGGGATGAGTTTGACTCAATGTGGTCACTAACACAATACAGAAATCGCATTCGCTTATGAAATTCTCAGAAAAAAGGGATGATGTAAAATATCCTGAATCGTAGCTCTGCGATGCACATGCAAATGTGTCATCCCTCTGATCAAATGAATCTCCGTATAGAACTCAATATCCAGTTCAGATGTATTGATAACATTCCCGTAATCATCAAAGAGATGCTCACTTCCTAGAGTGAGGCAGCGATAAAACACTGCGGCAAGGCTACATATATCTTCTACCATTGTATATTTTCCCTTTCTTCTAACATAACTGCTTGTCCATTGTTGATCCTTGGGTATACCAATTCTGAATATCTTGACACACAGATCAGTTCCTGAATTTTGTACTATTTTTAATACAAATTTAAAAACTCAATGTGGACTATTTTTTTGGGACGGATGTAGTATTAGATATTTTTTATACTCCACACCCAAGAATTGAAGACGTGAGACGTATATTTTGCTTTCTTTTTTTTTTTTTTTACTTAATTAGGAGGAAGAAAACCTCGAATATTATGCAATGATGCAAATTAATTGGTTGACTTAAACTCCTAGCCACTTACTCCGAGTGATGTGAGATTTCTTATATTGCCTTTATCCCAAATTTATTGTCCAGTTTGAGATTTCACTTTTAATATAATTTGAAGTAAAAATAAAAATTCAAACTGAACAATAATTCGGAAGGAGTATTATTCTTTTATCTTAAAAGATGATAGTTTTTTTAACCAAAAGAAAATATAAAAGATGGTTTTTTTAACCAAAAGAAAATAAAAAATGATACTCTTGTTTATCCTAATCATTTGGGGACTACAACCATTCTTTCATCCTCATCACAGTTTGCTGAAGGTTCCATGAAGAACGTACATTTGATCCACAAAACTTAAATTTGTTAGACGACAAACTTGACCGTGTAATCCACGACGCAAATAAAGAAAGGAGAAAACGTCTCTCTGTATCCAATTAAACATTTTTTTTTCTTTTTGTTGACTAACTCGATAAGGAAGATCATCTGAAGTTCATACTTCCGAACAACGATATAAATAACCCCTCTAAATGGTTAATCGCAGTTCAATTTCTGGAGCCCTGATTGTCAGAAATAAAAAAGAACAACAAAAATGGAGATGAGGAAAGCAGAGCTGGTTATGATTCCTGTGCCCGTAATAGGTCACTTAACCTCAGCAATCGAAGTTGCAAAGCTTCTTACTGATCGAGCTGATCAACTTTCAATCAAGGTTCTCATCATGAAGTTTCCCACCGATGAAACTTCAGTGCCGGAATCCTCCAATTCACGCCTGAAATTCATCCAACTCCGACCAGAAGAGCTCCCAGCTGCTTCGTCACGTCCTCCTCAACTGGGTCTCTTCGATTTCATTGATAGCCATAAGGCCCACGTGAGGGAAATCCTTGCTGAAATCAAAAGCTCCTCCGATACTTGCGATTTGGGTGGAATCGTTATAGACATGTTCTGTTTCTCTATGATGGATTTGGCAAACGAATTCGGGATTCCGTCATATCTTTTCTTTACATCTGGAGCTTCCTTTCTCGGCCTCCTCTTTAAATTGCAGAGTTTGATGGATGATTCTAATGTTGATGCTTGTGCTGAATACACGAATTCGGACGCCGTGATCGATATACCGGCCTATATGAATCCTTTTCCGGCTAAAGTGTTGCCTCCGGGTATATCAAACAGGGACAGCTTCAATGTTGTTTTGGAACAGGGGAGGAAGTTCAGAGAGACAAAAGGGATCATGATCAATACTTTCTTGGAGCTGGAAACTCACGCCGTTGGAGTTTTGTCAGATGATAAGAACATCCCACCCGTGTATCCGATTGGTCCATTGCTGAAACTTCAGGGAAGTGACGATAATCAGAACTCGAAAAGCAAGGAGATTATGAGTTGGCTTGATCTGCAGCCTGATTCTTCTGTTGTTTTTCTCTGTTTTGGGAGCAGGGGAAGTTTTGGTGAGACGCAAGTGAAGGAAATTGCTAATGCACTAGAAAACAGTGGGCACCGGTTCTTATGGTCATTGAGAAAGCCTCAACCTAGTGATAGGAGGCTGCAACTGCCAGAGGATTATGAGAATCTGGAAGAAGTTTTGCCTCAAGGGTTCTTGCAACGCACTTCAGAGGTCGGGAAAGTGATCGGATGGGCGCCTCAAATGGCGGTGCTTTCACATCCGGCAGTCGGAGGCTTTGTTTCGCACTGCGGTTGGAACTCGACGCTGGAAAGTATTTGGTGTGGGGTGCCGATTGCGGCTTGGCCGCTGTATGCCGAGCAGCAGGCGAATTCGTTCCTACTGATCAAGGACTTGGGATTGGCTGTGGAGATTAAGATGGATTACAAGAAGGAATTCGAGACACATGCAACTGATGTTGTTGTAAGTGCAGATGTGATTGAGAATGGAATCAAGAATCTGATGGATCCTGAGAATGGAATCCGGGAGAAGATGAATGAAATGAAAGAGAAGAGTAGGTTAGCTCTATCGAATGGAGGATCATCTTCTGCTTCATTAGAAAAGTTTCTCAACAGGGTCAGAAATAATATTTCTTGATGATCTTGTAGGACTGGAACTAAATCAAACTTGGAATAACATATGTAACATCTGATCAAATACGGTAGTAAGTGAAATCTATTTGCGAAAATGTACCGTCGTGTGTTTTCTTTGTTAGTGGGGGTGTTGTGAGAGAATATCTTCAGTAATAACAGATTTACTAAGCTTGATATCAATCAAAGGCTACCGCTAATTTCTAGCTGAAAAAGATGGGGAAAAGAATTACATCAAAAATTATACTCGTCCTCCGCAGCCTCCGTCAAAAATCTCAAAATTGAAGACTGCAGATCTTCTTCACCCTTTACACGGTTTTTGGTTTCGAAAACACCTCTCATAATACGAGTATACAAAATTTCAAGCTGTGGGATTCCACAGGCTTTTGTACGCTCAACAAAAAGCTGCTTAATCGCTTCGATTTTATCAGATACCTCTGCATCCGGCATATTAACATCTTGGGAAGGGCAAACGCCACTGAGATCAGAGCTCTCTTGCTGACCACCATCACCTTGCAAGTTGTTGGCCTCGGGCAACTGCTGATCTGAGCAATCAGCTTCACGTTCCTGGGGTGTTGTTACGGGATTTGGAGTACTCTCCTCTGTTGCTGGAGCTAGCATCATAAAGATTACAAATCAACAAACTAATAGGTTTCGAATTTCAACACTTCTAAAATGGTATAGTAACAATAGGTCCGGTATACATTCATCAAAACTCATGAAACTTACCTATTTGTGCACATTCAGAAAGTTTCTTCGGTCTTTTCAGTGCTTCGTAGCTTCGATCTAGATCAACTTCAGGCTGGACATTTCGAAGGCGGGCACTGGCCCTAGTCACAGCAGTCATCTGCACAACCGGAGTTTGGGGCAAGAAAGAGCCACCTAAATCATCTGGGATAGACAATGGACCCCCTTCTTCAGCTATTTTCTCACAAAATGATACCAATGCAGGATCCATCTGAGATAGCATCCCATGAACCTAACATAAAGAGAGCGTTAAAATCAGATCCTAATTAAATAAAGGTATCAAGGTACTGTAGAAGCAATTTAAATCTTACCGCATCTCGAAGTTCATAAGCTCTGCTGACAATCCTTGCTCCATTGTAATCATCACCATTATATTTCTGCATCCAGCACAGAATCATGTCTCAGCGCTTTCTCGCACAAAAATAGGTAATAGTTCTAGGCTTAAACAAAAATTTGCAACTCAAGTAAACACTTTCTATAGCCAAGATCCCCAGAAATCAAGCAAGTAAAACCTTTGCCTTCGTTGATCATAGAACCAAAAATCCTTTATTTGTGAGAAACCAAAAATGATTAATGTCACATTCATTCTACCATGCATTAGGGTATCTCACATCCTACAATCTCTAAGATACTTGAATAAACTGAAATTTCTTTACCGTCCATATGCATAATTAAGGAAACTTAAAAGGCCTGCAATTCCCTTTTTCGGCAGACTGCATTCTAACATTTGAAATGGATTTCATACATTACTGAATAGAATCAAAGTGTTCAGGAAGCATAAAGGATACTAAATCCAGTACAACAGATCAACTCTTGGGAGGAAAACTGCAGTTTCAAACCATGATAAGACATTATCCCGTACCCAATCTTGTTTCATCATCTTTTCCAGATTTAGTTGTACACAAGTACTAGTGATGTTGCACATTATTAAATTGAAAGCATCTTCATCTTTAAATCCTTTGAAACGAAAAGTTAAAATTAGAGGTTACGGTGCTTGTCCTAATCAAAACATAATCACTCCCTAAGTTAAAAATCCAGAGAAGACCTTTTGGTTTTAGCAAACAAGAACATGCCCAATATCTTATAACCCCAACATCTTTTCCTGTACCCAATCTTGTTTCATCATCTTTTCCAGATTTAGTTGTACACAAGTACTAGTGATGTTGCACATTATTAAATAGAAAGCATCTTCATCTTTAAATACTTCGAAAGGAAAACTTAAATTTAGAGGTTATGGTGCTTGTCATAATCAAAATATAATCACTCCAAAGTTAAAAATCAAGAGAAACCTTTTGGTTTTAGCAAACAAGAACATGCCCAATATCTTATAACCCCAACCACCATGATCAAAATGCTTTCAAAGAGGTATAAAAAATAAAGTACACTGAAATGGCAACACTATTAGAAAAGGTTGCACTTTTGCCGGCAAAACACAAACATGAAAGTCTACAAAGTAACCACATTAATTAGTTATCCAACCCAGTACTACCTTGGCATTGGACAAAATGAGGTCAAAGTCCTCCAAGAATGCTTTGCATGTTATATACTTTCCACTGTCAACACGCTGCAGCAAAGTAGACATGTCCATGGGGTTCTGAATGATTGAACGATAGTTTGGTGCATCCTCATCCGAGACCGGATAATGAAAGGCACTGAAACGCTTATCATAGAGAATCCTGCAACATAAACCCGAAATACAGAGGTTAACAAAAGTCACAAAAGAATATCACAAACAAGCAATCTATGCTATTTTTGGCGAAGATTGTCATTGTAAGCCAGACATAAAAATTGCAAGCATTTCATTCCTATTTATGGAGGTATGGAGTAAGCAAAGAAGAATCTCAAATAGTAAAATAATAAAATCTAAGCATCACATAATCAAAGGGATAAAACCAAATCTTCAGCAATTACATTCTTTTAGAAGAAGATACAAAAACTCTTTAAAAGTTACAAGCATAGAAGAGTGTGAATTTCTTTCAGCTCTGACCAGTAAAGTGAAGATAATTATTCACTCTTGACTTATCAAAAAAACAATAAAACACTCAGTAACACTTTCAAAGGCAAGGCTAAGATCAAAAGTTTACAAATGTTTCATATTTAATTTACACCCTCATCCTACCGTGCTTTCCATTCTACAAACTTTCCTTGTAATAACTAGAAAGTAAGATAAAGGAGTTACAAATCATTGTCTATAATTGTTACTGTAGCCAACATTATATACAAATTAAATCATTTTGGGTTCTTGAAAGTCAGAAAGGACAGTGCAGCCAACTTCATAGGAACAAGTATCTCAATGCAGTATAGATCTCATTTACAAGAACAGACATCACATTAACCAAACTTTCAAAAGAACAAAACTGAACTTATTAGCCAAAAGTATACACTAGGACACAATTGCTTTAACCAGGTTAAGCAACAACCATAGCAACTACAATTACACAGAGAAAGACGGAAGTCAAATTTGAAGGGCAGCCTGGTGCACAGAATCCCCCACATGGGCAAGGAGTCAGAAATAAATTTCAAGAAACTGTCAAATTTGTAACTCACAAACTCATTCGAGAAGGAATATTTTCACAAACCTATTACAAATGTCACGTAAGCACATGCGCAGTCGGCGCAAAGCATGTCCCTGAGTTTCTGCTTTGGCTTTTAACTCAGAGGGTTTCGGTCCAGAAGGCACTTTTGGAGCTTTTGGAAGTTCAGAATCCGAGCCAGCCGCAAATGATTTCTTTGCGACAACTTCAACTTGTATTGATAAGGCTGCTTTAATCAGACGATCAAAGAACTGAAATCTATCTTCAGTTGAAGGTGCATTCAAATGCAATCTGTGTCCAACAAAGCAAAATGGATTCATAATTTCTTTCAGGAGAAGAGAAGGGGGGTGGAGAAGCTCTGAAGCAGTTAACCCATAACAAAGAGTGAGCAAACAGTGCGACAAATATTATAATATCAAGATAATGTTTCAAAGGATTTAGCTCAGGCACAAGTGATCTACTTTAGAACTTTTCTTCTGTAAAGAAGCTGAAAAGTGTATAAAAAGCATTTCGCACATTCCCAAGAAAGAATTCGTCAAGCGATATCGCCTGCTAATATACAAATCAGAAGTTCACTCCCAACAGAATAACCTTAAAACATTCATGATCCAATTGGAAAAAACATTCATAATCCAATTGGAAAGGACCTGTAGCTCAGCAGTCAACCGTTGGAAGAAAATACCAAACTTAAAACAAAAATTCAAAATGATTTAATAATGTAGAATCTGAAAAACCTTCAATTTCATAAGCGGTAAACGCTCATCAAAGATCAATTTACAAATATAATTTCCACAAGAGACACAGAGAAATTAAGAGAGACAACACATAGCACAAGTTTCAGAAGCTTACATATTTTGACGAGGAAATATTGAAAATGGATCACCCTCTTCATGGAGTGGCTCCACCGTAGTTCCAAGCAATAGAATGGGCAAGTCAGAAGGCAGCTCTTCCAGCAACGTCTGAAGAACTGCTCTTAGTTGGCCATGTGCCTAACCATAACATTTCAGATTTAAAAATCAGCCAGGCCAAGAAAAAGTAGCAGAAGAATTGAAATAGTTCGTTGACTCACATTTTCCCACCAAACATTAAACTGGGGAAGATAGAGAATTGATGGTGTCGTTCTCCTTGCTTCTCCAAAGATGTGAACAAGGGCCTCTTCTGGTGTCTTGGCACCAGGATCAGAAAGAAGAGAGGAAAGTCCTAGTGAATGAACAGGGAATTTTTCCAACTCGTGCAAGACTGCAGGTCCAATGTGGTCCTGAAAATTAAATCAGTTATTAAACCAAGTCTGCAATTTACCAAAACTACCTTGTGTAAAAATAAAGGAGAAGTCTTGGACCAATTACCAGCCCAACACCTTTCTGCCCGCATAACAGAAGTCGAGGCCTGTATACAAGAGGAATTACAGAACCATACGAGAGCATGGAGAGTTTAGAAAGTTCTGACGAAACAGCAAGAGCAGGGAAAATATCAGAGATAACATCCATGACTTTTCGGAACTCTCCAAGCAGGCATGGCTCAACAACAGAAGATAATGGCCGTGAATGAACAATTGACCCTCTGTGAGCTGCAGGAGTGATTGTTGACATAGCTTCTATGAAATGATACTTCTCCACCTTCACTGAATCAACATCTATTACAAATTTATCATCACTTGTGTAGACTTGAGGATATTTTTCACGAAAAGCACGAATGGCAGCCTCAGTGCACAAGGCCTTTAAATCAGCTCCACAATATCCCACACAACTAGCCGCAAGCTCTGATTTCAACTCTTTTGTAGGAGGCTGCTTCCATTTCCGGGTGTGAATGTCTAAAATTTCAGCCCGTGCTTCACAACCAGGTAATGAAAAATTAAATTCGCGGTCAAATCTCCCAGGACGACGCAAGGCTCCATCAATTGCATCAACCCTATTAGTTGCCCCAATCAAGACGACCTGTCCTCGGGAATCTAGACCATCCATCAAGGCAAGTAAAGTTGACACGATAGAATTATGAATCTGCTCCTGTTTGCTAGATCTAACAGGAGCAAGCCCATCTATCTCATCAAAGAATATTATAGAGGGTTGATTTTTCTGAGCTTCTTCAAACAAAAGTTTCAATTGTCTTTCAGCCTCACCAACCCATTTGCTTAGCACATCGGCACCTTTTCGCATATAAAAACTGACTTTCTGCCCAGCCTTTGAAGCGGCACAAGCTAATGCTCTAGCAATCAGCGTTTTCCCAGTGCCAGGAGGACCACACAACAAGACTCCCCTCGGAGGGGTGATATTGTAACTAGCGAAAAATTCCGGATAAAGCAAAGGAAAAAATACCATTTCTTTAAGAGCATCAATGTAATCAGAGAGTCCACCGATGTCTTCAAAAGTTACAGTCTCATCAACTTGTAAGGGTTGAATATCAGCCCCACCCTTTGAGCTGGGCCCAGCTGTCTGAATACCAGAAGTTAAACTCGAAAGGACTTCATTCTGATGACCCCAACCAGACGCAGCAACATTCAAACCCCATGCTGAAGCCCCATGCATGTCTAGGCCTCCAAAAAGCCACGGTGAAGATCTACTCCCTCCTCTACCAAATGGAATAGGAGGACCTTGATCTAGCTCATCAACTAGAAGGGAATCATCAGAGTCTTCAGCTCTGCTTATTCGATGACGCTTATGAACGCGAGAGCCACCTCTTCTTACATCCCTGCCTACTTTGTTTCCTACTCCTTGCTGAAGCACCCTCCGAGGAGACCGTGGCCTTTGTTTTCCTTCATCAATGGAGAGCCTACGGACATCGGCACGATTACGGAGATCGTATCGTCGTCTACCATCCTGTTCCTCATCATCACCATCTTCCTCCCCTTCGTCTTCACCCTCATCTTCTCCATCACCCTCATCTTCTCCATCACCCTCACCACCACCATCTTCCTCACCTTCACCATCATCAACATCATTATCCTCTACATTGTTGTTCCCATTTACTCGCTCATCTCGTACTGCTTTTTCATCAGACACTTCTTGTTCATCATCAGAATCCAAAGTCAGCCGTCCCCTGCCAGCACTTCTTGCATTACGGGGTCGTAGTCCTTCTCTTCGAGGTCGCAGTCCTTCCCGCCGAGGCAATAAATCATCCGGACTTGCAGCATTGGTATTAATGTGAGTTCTAGAACTCCGAAATTTGGGATTGCGGTACTTGGGACTCTGAGAAGATATGCAAAAAACTGTATCCTCACATTATGGAAAAAATAACAGGATTTGTAATCATCAATGCAAGCTATCAATGGTCCACTGAAAAGTTAGCAGAAAAAAGTTGGTAAAAACTAACCATCAGATCATTATCCTCTGAACCAGAAGTATCTGTGAAACCATCCAGATTAACAGAGATCCTCCTCTTTCTAGTCGATCGGCGAAGGTTCATATCAACAGACTGTAGCATGATAAACAAATATATTTTAGAACTACAGCATATTAAGAAAAGTGCCAAAAAGTACTAGTCAGTGGCTAAGAAACAACATTCATTTTCTCTTGCTTTATTTCATACTTGTCTAAGGCGTACAATCAAAGGCCAAAGAAGAAAAGGAAGTCTAAGAACTGCAAAAATAGTCAGCACAATTTTTCAGCCACAAGAACCTAAAATGAAATGAATTTGAAGACCACTGCCTTGACATGTTATAAAAAATAATAAGAAGCAGATGCCGGAAAAATCATAATATATGCAAAACATTGTTGCCAACATTGCAATAGTATAAACAAATAGGTACCTTTTTACTACGGCGTAAACCAAAATAATTCAGTTTCTAATCGACCATAAAAACAAATTTCATTCAGATCTACAAGATTGTCTCATTATCACTGGTTAATGGTTCCATCAACTAGCATCTAATACAAGGGCATAGCCCCACATCTGTCTCCTTCTATCGTGACTAAAAGACTCATTTCCTCAATACCAACTAAATTTGACTCATACCCTATGAATTCTGACATCAGTATTCAGTAACAAAGGACAAAAAAAAAAAAAGAGGAAGACATATAACACATACATCTGCATTTGATTCCCGTAATGGTCGATTTCCAGGACGCAACATCTTCGCTATTTGAGAAGCTGCAGTCCTTGTTTTTGTTTTCCTTCTCTTCGGGCGGATAATACTTGGAGTGTAGTATAGATATTGCCGACCATACAATTTCGGCCTCCTTCGAAGCCTATCACTTGCACGGACAGGCATGGACACAGGACCATCATCTTGAGAAGAACGTTTGGGATACATATTCACTTTAAAATTGCCCCATCATTACAGTCAACCTGAGTGTAAGCAAGAAAAATTTGAAATAAGCAATTTAAAATTTGGTCCACAACAAATCATGACAATAATTCTGCTGCAGCAGCTAATGAAGTTCTTTAGGCAAATAGTCTTTCAAAAAATTTAGTAAATGAAACAGCAATACATGGATAGCTATAATAATTTTAGCAACAAATAAAAAGTATTCCAAAAGTCGGTCTCTGAACAGTTCAAAGAGTCCACCAATCCCTTCTCAAGATGAATTATCTGTCTCGACAAATACCAAGAATGAAGAAGATTTACTAAGGCGCACAGTCCAAATGCCCATAAAAGATATTCTCCTTCAAAGAAATTAAAAGGTAGCAGTCTAGAAAATGGCTTTGACCACACTAACTACAAACAAACCAAAATTTTGCACAAAAGAAATTTCCAAGAAATCATTCCACCTTGACTAGGACATAGTTTCATTACTCAGTATCTTTGCAGTTAAACTTAAGTTTGAACCCCATTTATGCCTTTTATATTAACCTTAAGCATTCCCTCCCAAAACATAGAGTCCGCACCCCTCATTCCCTCTTTCTAAATTATCATTAAGTCTTGAGTCACCACTAAACCCTCCAAAGATCATCCACCGAGTACATATCTGAACAAGATGAAAAACTTTAGACTAGACTCAATACTGCAATGATATTCTTTCTTTCACATTGTTCAGCGAACTAATCCAGCACTACAACTCATTCCAACATGAACTATTTCACACAGAAATGGCAACACTAAAAGACTAAAGGAGAACTCTAAAAAACAGAATACAGATCATGGAAAGATGAGAAATCAGCAACTACACAAATACCATAATTCTAATACGAGGATTCCATTTACATATAAAAGAAAGAAGTTTCCAACAATCATTGTATGCATGCAGTGTAAGGACGTGATCAAATTTCATTCTAAAGGAACAGAACATGAAACAATTCAATAGAAATGACATAATTACGAAACCTAAAAGTCAAAATGACACAAGAAGCTAGGGCTTTTCAATTAAACACTCAAGCTAAGAACAATAATAACACGCCAAATTCTAGAGAACCATTCCTTTTCAGAACTGCAACCTCCTAACAAAACCGTTCCATTTCAATTCCCAAAAATTTTTCCATACACAATTCAACCGAAAAGCAAAATCGAATTATACTGAAGAAACGAAACAAAACAGTACTAAGCGAATGCGTTGGCCTAATCTATTTAGAGTTGATTTCAAAGTTCCATAAACCTCTGACACTACTGAAACTTACTGGAAATGAACAAAAAGGAGAAAATGGTGCGGTTTTGGAGAAGCAAACCAAATGAACAATTGCGCAGGTCTGCTCACGGCTGAGTGTTGAACGCAGTTCAGACTCCCAAGGCGTAAACCGGGAGGAGGACGGCGGAGTTCTCAGGTAAGAGTCGGAGGAAAAGACCGAGGGAGAGTGGGGCACGGTGGTGGAAAGTGGTGGCGTTGGCAGTTGTCGTTGGCGTTAGTCTATAAGAGGTTAGGGCTTGGGTTGGGCCGCAACCTTATAAGCGTGCAAAAAAAAAAAGAATTTTGAGAATGAAAGCTACAGAATCAGGCCCGCCTCGGCCTCTTTATTTATATTGGTGTACTACTTTGGTAGTTGTTTTACTTTTTGAATTCAATTTTTGTTGATAAGTTTCAAGAAATGGCACAAAATGTGTAGTACTAGATTTATATTTATTGCACATAAATATCAGTTTCAAAATTCAAGTTTGGAATGTGTATAAATTCGAACGCCTTATGTAGATTACATTGTACTCCATGAAATCTAATTACGAAAATATATGAAGTGATTGCAAGAGAGTACTTATAATTTTCCTTCTTTTTTTTCCTTTTATTTCTTTCATTTGTACATCATCTTTCAGCTATAATTCACACAAAATAAGTAGAACAATTTGTCACGGTAATGGGTAGATTTGAACTTGTGATCTCATATTAGAATTTTGAACAGTTACTCGTTAAGTCTATTAATATGTGACATGAATGTAGGGATAGAAATTAGTATGATTATAGTGGAGCAGTTCGTACTTCCTCTATTTTAAAATATAAGTCGTTTTAGATTTGAAGAAATTTTTCAAAACATTAGGATTTCAAGCCAAATTAATTATTTATTTTTCAATTTTAATCTCAATAAATGATACCAACCCTTTTTCATTTGGTATTGTTTATAGTTTCAATATAATTAATAAGAGGTAAAACAGATATTTGACATACAAATTAATTGTTGAATGATTGTCTCCTTAATTTAAGTGCAAAGTCTAAAGTGACTTATATTTTGAAATGGAGGGAGTAAAAAGTTTATCATACTACATGCTACTACATAAAACTATTTATCAGTAATCTGCGCTACATCTTTTTCTTAGATATTTAACGTGTATATAGATTCGCTTTCCCGATTACATTTTAGTTAAGGATTTCTTTTTAATCATACTACATTTTAGCCAAACATAGGCATTTTTACATATATTTTAAATCTTTCTCACTGAAAAAGTAAATTTTATGTTGATTTTCAAATGAACAAAAAAGATGGACTCATAAAATGTCATTTTTAATAAACTTTAACTAAACAACCGGAAGAGACTGAAAAAATGACACTCATAGTTAATTTTTTGTGTACCTCTTGACATCATATAAGTTTGTTATCTTTGTGCATGCACGGGATTGACTCTGTCAATTAATCTTATACATTACACTATTAAATTATGTGTTTCATTTACAAGTTGTTGATGTGTTTCTCTTTTTTTTTTATTGTAACTAACATTAATTTGCTAATAGTAATTTTTTTTTCTTGTTAACTAGCAAATGAAATGCATGTAAAATGTAATAATCGTGAAAAATAATGATGTAGTCCTCTCTAGTGAAAATCCAAATATTGTAAATAAACTCTGTTGTCTTTTACATTAGAATTAATATGACATCCTCAGTCAATATATACATACATATATATATGAGCAATAATACAGATAGTGAAAAATTATAGTGAGTTTGGATAGTGACAAATGAAAAGACAAATACCACACTTACTAAACATGTCTAGCCATTAGTTAAGGGTAAAAATATAATTTTTGGAGAAAAATAAAACTTCAATGGGAAAGTGACAAAAAAACTAGAGATCATGATTAGTCCACATCGGTCACTATATTTTGTCACTATTTTTTCACTATATATATCATTTTACTACAGACACACACACATACACACACATATATATATATATATATATATGCACGCCAAAAAACACAGTCATAATTATTTCATTATTTTTGTACAAACATATGACAAGATTTCACTTATGTTTCGGAAAAGGGTTATCTTTTAGGCATTGACTTGAAAATATGCAAGCTGGCATAATAATGACAAGTTCCTCAAACTATTGAACTTACTAGTTACTTTCATTCGATTTTGGATAGCCTTCTAGTTTTGTCCTATGTAGAGCATACACATCAACGAGTCATTGAAGTAGTCACAAAACATGCAAAACCTCTTTGTAATTTGAAAATTGATCCACATTCATCTAACTCCTTGAAATGATTTGGAAATGGAAAACTCTCTTTAATAGGAAGACGAAAAAGAAGTAAAGGCTTATATATATATATATATATATATATATATATATATATAAAATCCTACAATAAAGGAGTGTTTTTTATTTTTTGGATTACTATCCTACAATTTTTTACCAGACTATGAATAAGATACACCGATAATGAAAAATTTATCATAACTTAATATGCTTAGAGTTGTAGGATATGAAATTGATATTGTTCACAATATTGATTTTCAAAATATTTCAGAAAAACCTCTTAGGTTGTAAATTAGATTTTGAGCACGTTCTGAGAGAAAACAACAATTATGGAGACATCCCTACTAAAGCTGTTTTAGTCATATCCTTACTGGATTTTTTATTTTTATTTTTTTTAAAATTATTTTTTGATGTTAAAGGGAAAAAACCAAAAATAAATCAACGTTGTTCAACAATAATCAACGTTGTTAATATACACCAGATGCTTTCACGCTCTAGCCGAGAGCCTGCCTGGGCATTCCATAGAAATCCAGCCACCATGGAATTGGCTCATGTACCGGTATGCACGCCAAGAGCTCGCAATCCACATATAACATATAATATCCCTAGCAACTGCCACCTGACCTTTCTCCGATTTTGTGCTGCAATACAAGGGGATTTTGAATCAAGTACTGTAGTCATATCTGTACTGGCTATGATAATTAAGTAGCTAGAACATGTTTGTAAGGACAATTTACAAAACAAATATACAAACTAACCCAAAATCAATGCTATTATCAAAAGAAATGTAAAAAATATATTTTTGATTACATTTCTTATTAGGCGTAGTTTCTAATCGTATTTTTTTTTTTTGGGCGTAATTTGAACTAGACCACAACCTAGAAATAACACGTAAGATATGCGACATACCCATAAAAGAGTGATGATACCTGCAAAATATATAAAAATCTTAGTTAATTTACATGTGAAAAGGATTGTAAATCAACCTTCATGTGTGCAGAAACAAGACAAAATAAAAGGCATATGTAAACAGCTTCAAAATAACTCATGTGCAGTCTTAGTTAATTTACATATGAAGAGGTTATTCACTCCTTTTAATTTTTACTTTTCAAATGGTTTATGTTCATTTTTTTTTTCCTTATTTTGTCCGCAAGACTAATATACGATTCTCCACAACCTGCAAAATTTAACCTGCGTTGTACTGGCACAATAGCATGTATCAAACAAATGGAGATCGGTCTTATATTGGATCCCGAAAATGTCATAGAGGATCCTGTGCCGAATACTATGTATTATATAGTTTTTCGCAATCCGTACAATGATTTCCTGGCTCATTAGTAGTTTTTTTTTCTAAACTTTGCAACTCCTACATTGATTTACTGGCTCTATCACTACATGTATATATAATGTAATAGT